GTTGAAGGTCGTGACAGAGAAATCCCGTCCTTGCACACGCGCTCCCCCACCCCTTTCACCCCCGCACAAAGGGGATGTGTGCGGGGGACGGGTGGTGGCAGTCGGTTGCGCCGCCAGGGCAGCGGGCACCGGGGGAGGCAGAGAAGAGGTGAAAGGCTTTAAAGGCAGGGATAAGGGCTGTGCCGTGCTCTGCGCTCCGGAGGGACGGGGAGACCTTTTTTTCAGCTATAGTTTTTAAAGAACGAGTTAGAGGTACCTGAGCACCTGCCACAGGCAAGTGGTCTGTCTAAGATTTATAGCTAGCAACTTTCCGTATCAAAATTATTTAGGAAACAGACCTTCACTGAAATAATGGGAATTAAATAACCACAGCATTAATTCCCTTGCTTGTTGTCATCTGGTGCATATGTAGGAAGTTCGGGAATGTGAGGTAGTTTTCCTCTGATGCTCTGATAGTGCGCTGCAAGGAACAAGTGCTGAACTGCCTAGGAAGCTTTTGTTTCTTTTCAAGTCGTTCAAGCTAGCGCAAAACTGGAGAGAAAACAGAAGTGGCTGCTGCTAGTGCAGAGTTCCAGCCTTCAGCATTTGTCCTGCATCTTGGCTCAGTAAGGATGCATGTATGGATAGGTACAAGCTTGACAGGATGGGGCTCACAGCTTGTTCTTAGGTGGTGCAGAAATGGTGGGTTAGGAAAGGAATGACCCTACCAATAGTAGTTTTGCATTTCAGAAACATTGCGGTCTTGTTTTATGGGCGTTTTAATACACCCACGCAACTCAGAATAAGCTGTGGGAATAGTGACGGTGCAGCTTTGGAGCCAAGACCTGGAAGGAGTCCTGAAAAAAGCGAGGAGCCGCGTCCAGGTTCTGCTGCAGTAAACTTGTGCTGACTCCTGCAGGGCCAGGATTTCACCCTGGATGTGACCGTGGATAATAGAAATGACAAAACAGCAGTATATACACATGATGTAAATTTGGAAGAGTTAGAAGCGCTTGTGATTCATGACATAGCTAAGCACATTAGGAGGAAACTTTCCACAGGGAATGGTTATTCTATAATTGCCATCTCTGCAGACTTTTTGTCTTCCTTTGAAACACCTGGAATTAGACAGTCTTAAAGACGAGGCACTGGATTCGCAGTCTTTGCTGGAATAGCCATAATCATTAACAGAGCAAAGCAGAGTCTTTTTTTACTTCATTCCTATGTGATACCAAAATGTGCCAATTAGGAAAGGCCATACTTGTTTCATAAATACCTTCTTTCTTCCTAACCCTAATTCACTGATATCAAACAGTTCCAAATACCTGCAAGGAAAGTTTCTAACACAGAAGAATATTCCTGTAAAGCACTGCGTATCCTTTCCTTAGACCTTTTGCCTTTTCACAAGACCCAATTGCCTTTGAATGAGCTCAGTTTAAGCTGCTGGGGGCTTGACACCAGATGAAGGAGTGGCGGAGGTCTGGTTACGAGCTGTAGTGGCAACCAGCACCGCCAAGTATCTTAATGGCTAAGGGCAAGGCTGCGTGCAGCCCCAGGAAAAGTTTTGTATGAAGTTTGGGGATTCTGGATGCCACCTAGAGGATTATCCTTGTTGTTGTGCTCTTGGCTGCTTTTCTTCAGCAAAAGTACTATTCCACCTTTCCTAGGCCTTGTGGGGAGTGAGGAGCATCTGGGGGGCACTTGCCAGCTTTGCTCCTGTTGGCAGCTGAGTGCTGAAGGCTCACCGAATGAGCCGGTGTAACCACGGAGCATGGTGCAGTACCACCACTGGGACCTGGCTGGAGCCCAGAAGGCACTGTAGTCCCATCAGACCTACTGATCAGCCCCAGATGGTGTCCTAGGCCGAACAGGGCTACTCTGTTTCCCATCCTGGAGCTCTATGTGAGACATCAGCCTCCAGAGAACCACACCCAGCATTTGGAATCAATCCGTGCACCAGAAGGGCAACCCAGACCTGGCACTCCCTGGTTTAATTTCCTGTGCCTGTGAGCCATGTGTTTGTGGGATGCCAGTTCGGAGCCGCTAAGGGCAGGGAATAAGATTTATAAATGGATGCAGGAGCCAGTCTGCTTCTTTGGACCTCCACTGCTCAGCTGTGTTATCAGCTGCAGAACTGACAGTCAGCTTCCACCTAGGAGGAGGTAGCTGCATCCTCAGTATCTGAGTTTTCTGCAGCAGACTACATGCGGAACCATACCAGTGCCAACACCACCCTGTTGCTGCCAAGCTCTTGACGCCAGAGCTGCCAGGTGACCTTCTCAGAGTAGGCCCTTGGGGTGTGATTGCGAGGAGATGCTCAGAGTTCAGGTGGATTAGATACAACCCTGCAAAGATGGTATGGGGGGATGTGATTATACCAGTCACATTGGGTTTATGTCTGATGTGACTGAAGCACCCTTTGGGGTGTTGGAGACCAAGCCTGAAGCTTGAGGTTCTGCAGGAGCTCTGCTGCTCTATATGCATGGTCAAATCACCAGTTGACCTCTGTCAGCTCTGTCCCCAAACTCTTTATGGCCTTCAGAATTCGTAGTGCAACAAACCGAAAAGTTGGCTGTTTGCTAATGCTTAGCTGAGGTTTCTTTTTAGCCTGTCCGCTGCTGTGCATCACAGCTTGTGAGAGGGGCTGAGTTTTGTGGATCCACAGAGAGAAAGAATTGAATGACCTTAAGTATCTATTTCCAAGCTCTTCCAGATATTAAAGACCTGCAGGAATTAGTGGGTGAATGTATTTGGTATATTTATGCCCTTCTGGCCTATGAAATCTGCAAAATGGCTGATATCTCTTCTCCATCTTGCCATGTCCCCACCTTACCTGCCAGAGGAAGGTGTAAACCCCATCTCTTCTGTCCCCATGCTAGCCTACCAAATGGGAAATCCATCTGCTGGTGCTTGCATGGGATTTGCCATTGTAGGAGAGACAGTGGTTTTGTCTCGGACTGGGACCGTTTCTCAGGCAATTGCTTCAAGAAAAGGGAATGAAAATGTCAGGCAAGAAACAGGTGATTGCTCTGATCATCGTTAGCTTCCAACTTGGCTGACCCTGCAACACTAATGGTGGTGAGAGTAGTCAGGAAAGAGATACAACCTCCACTATAAAATTAAACATGTCTTCTGTACTTTACTGATTGCCATCAGCCTTAGTTATCCTGGAAGTCTTCCTTTTCAGGCCCTTTCCCTTGTTTAAGGTGAGAGTCATTGTTGTTTTCCCCGAGTACCACTTGTGCTTTCTGTCCTTTGCTGCATTCCTCATGGGACTTCATGGGAAGTTGTCTACTTCCTAGTGTGTCTCTGTCCCCTTAGGGCAAACCCTCATTCAGTGTACGCTGAAATAAGGATGTACAAAAGAGGTGAGGGCTTTTCACTCTTCCCTATCCTTCTATGAACACATCTTATAGATGGGAATTCTCACTCTGGACTGGAGACTGGGATAAATTTCTTTCAAAATAAGCCAAATTTTCCTGTAGTGAGATCAAAAGTGTATCTAGGTTTACTGCTACCCTCCCCTTCAAGAGTATGCAGTGCCCACTAAACTGAGCGTGGAAAGGGTGGCTGATGGTCTTTCTGTCCTTGGCAGGGAGTCGCTGCTGTGTACTCTTGCTGGAGAGCGGCACCAAGAAGAAAAGCTGGAGTGGAGGCTGGGGAAGACAACCCACGCCCAGAGGAGCCTCTTTGGCCCCGTAGACTACGAGCAGCTGCGGCAGGACTTCCAGCACATGCTGCGCAGCAGCGTCGAGGGGGCCCAGCAGAAGTGGAACTTCGATTTCCTCCAGGACACGCCAATGGAGGGGCTCCTGCAATGGGAAGAGCTGGAAGGCCATGAGGTGCCTGCCTTCTACCACAGCTGCGTGGTGGGAGATGCTCAGAGACCACTGCAGCACTTGAACTGGCCCCTGGGCAGAGAGGACAAGAGTCACCACTTTGCCCAGGTGGCACTGACAGAAAAACCCAAGACTTCCAAGAAAACAGGGGGCAAGAGGATCTCTGAAGGGAAGAAAAGAAGACAGACATCTTTGACAGGTGTGTGAGGCCCTGGTGTGGCTCAGATGATCAAACCTGGTCCCAACAGCTGGTTAGAAATTCTTTGATGAGCCCATAAACCGGTGTTGCTTTAAGAAAGTGCAAGTCTTCAAAGAAGCGTCTGAAGGAGAAGGAAGGCACACTCTAAATTGATGGATACAGGGCTTGTGTTTTTCAACGGTGCTGTGCCACAACCCCTCTCCTGACCCTGGCGGTCTATTTAGGACTTGTCACAGTCAGAGCAGTAAGATAACAGTCAGTTCTTGCAGGAGGATAGTTGGGCTGGTTAGGAGAGGTAGGTGTTTAAAAAGGCTGTCTAAGAAAGGCAGTGAGGTGATTTCTTTAGCAGGAGCCCAGCAGAAATGCAGGGTTGTCCATCAGATGGGAGGTTTTGGGTTTTTGCTTTCTTGTAGGTTTGGCCGTGGGCACCCTTTCCTGAGTGCAATAAGGAGCACCGTTCAGCCAGCTAAGCCTCAGGAGGAAGACCAGAAACCAGAGAAGGCAGCCAGGTCTCCTGCTAACTTCAGCTTGGATATTATACTCAGTGAAGGCATCCAGGAATTTTAAGGGCAAATCAATCTTAAACTTAGCCAGGTGGCAGAAAGGACTAGGTTTTTAAATGCCTCTCGCCAGGACTTGCTGCCAGAATTTCAGCATCCATAAAAGAGCTTTAGGGTTTTGAAAGTCCTCAGCATCCTGCATGGTAAGCTCTTCTGAACATCTGGCCCCTCATTTTCTGTTCTCAACAGGATTTGAACTTGTTCAAAAAAATCTAATCCCATATATCAGATTTCCCTTTTCCATATTGGGGTTTTGGTTTATCCAAAACTGAGATTTTTCAAGACATAGACCATGGATTTTCTTTCAGGAATTTGATGTGAGACACCATCTTGAAATTGCCTAGAAGATAATTGAAGCTAAGGTTTCAGGAAACAGTTTCTGAACAGTGATGTTGATCTCAGTTAAGTCAGACAATAGACTAATTTGCTGTTTGAGGGTATGAAACTTAATTGCTAGCGAGAGGTTCAGGAAAAGGTTGGAGATTAATGAAGAGTGGAACATTGCACAGTGGAGTTCAGAACAATGATATTTAATGAGTACTCTTTTCTTCTCCAAAGCACTTTACAGCCATTAACTAATTAACAGTATAATTTACAGGTAGGAATACAGAAGTGTAATTCAGAGCACAATGTTGTGATGGTTTGAGGGAACTGCTGTTCAATTGTAAATCTCTCACTAGGTATGTGGGAGTAAATTATGCAGATATTTCCAGGGGATATTTTTCTTCCGTTTCATTTTCCCCAGGCAAGAAGCATTTCATCAGGGGATGAGGAAACCGAAATACCACGCCGCACAGTTTTAACACTTTCCCACATGTGTTTTCATAAGAGAAAACTCTTTAGTCTGACAACAGTACCCTTCTCCCTGAGAAATCTGTGTGTGCAAGATGGGCCAGAAAAATTATTTGCAATCTTCTCTTTTGATGAGGCTCAGAGATCAGTCCCTCTCAATCCTCTCAAAGGTGCCCACACACACATCCTTCTTATTGCCAGCTGAAGGATGCATTAGAAGTTTCCTTCTAGCTGCAGGAACCTTGTCCCTCTGGGCATGGCTGAAGTAATTCAGGCAAAACTGAGCCAGGGAAAGTTATACCTGCTGCTATGGTCTGACCCCACACTTCCACCCCTTTGCTCATCTTTTGCCATCCCATAGTGAAAGGTTAGTTTAGGATTAGGATCTGAGGTTGGATTTTAACCTGGTCGTCTGCATTCTGCTGTGGTCAACAAGAACAGTGTAATGCTTTATGTTACGATCCAACAGTGTGCATTTAATTTAAATTTTCAGAGACAGCTGTGGCCCATTAAACAAATATCAATGTATTAAAAACCAACCGTGGGGTTTTGTGGACATTGGCACCTCCAGAGTGGAAGGAGCAGAGGTTTTCCTGCTGCATTTGACTCCTCAGACATGCAGAGAGTGAACCAGTATGAAAATAGATTTTTCATTCTATCTCCCAGTCCTTTTATGTAGATGTACTCCCATCTCCATTCTCTCTTTTTCATTGCAGACCCAGTGTGGTTCTGCTGTCTTTTATGGGAGAGTCTCAAATTCGAAAAGCAGCTCCAATACAGGCTATAAGCCTTTTCCACGTTATCCTTTCTTTTTTTTTCTTTTCTTTTTTTTTTTTTTCCCCCCCCCACTAATCAAGGGTGGCAAACCTTGCTCTTCTCTTCTAAACTTTTTGACTTGCCTCAGTCTGATACACTTAGCTCTCACTGAGACCTTGGCTCTCCTGGGAGACGTTCTTAAATCCTTGCCTCCTTTGCTAAAGGCCAAAGAGAAAATTGGTAAAAATCCTGTGTTTTCACTAGCTGGTCTTACTTCTGAAGCAAATAGTTCATGCAAGATAGCTGGGGAGAAAATGTGGAGGAAAGGAAAGCAGGTATTTAGGTAGGTATATTTAAACAACAGGAATTTTTCCCTCCTAGATCCCCGAGGCCAGGCTTTCCTACTGACAGGCTGCAGGCAGCATCCTCCTGAGTACCTTACCTACTCCAGTGCAAGCACTCTTTACAGTCCCTCAGGCAAACCAGCCAATTTCCATGAACTCTGTTTAGCATCTTAGATGGAGGCTAGACCATCTGAACATGGCTCTGGGGATCTGCATTCCCCTGGCTCTTAAGTGCCTCCATCAGTTTTGAAACTAGGCTCCATTATGTGGGTGTCTGGCCAGTTGGCCTCTTGCTAAAATTCTTCACAGGCAGAAATGGGAGTACTGACTACTGAAGTTTTCTGAATGTCACCTACTAAGCATAATTCATAATGCATTTATTTTCCAAAAATAAAATGAAGGATAGCTATATACAAGTCTTCTAAATGGAAGAAATAAGTAGCAAGGATTACATTTGATAATGTAAGCTTTTTTTTCTTACTGCTATTCCTTTCCTCTGCTGTTCCCCTAAGAGACTACAGTGGGTTATAGTAATAGCAGGATTTGCTTTTCTACTGAGTTGGCAGTGCATGCTCCTGCCCAGGAGAATACGCTCTCCTTGGAATCATGTCCTGCTCCAGAAGTTTAGCTTAGGGCTAGCTCAGGTACTGCTGCGCTCCCCTGCACTGTGCCATGCAGATGTATCCTTAAGGAAGTTGGCTGCAGAAATCTCATTGCACGAATTTGGCTGTGAAAGCCTGTGGAATTCCAGTCATCCTGCCAATAATGTTCTGCGTGGAAATTAATGCAAGACTTTATACTGCGAGGACTTGATAGTTGTTGCCAGTTTGACTGTATAGAAAGCTCAGGTTTAAATGTCGTGGAGTCCACATCCTCAGATGAAATTGGAGCAAATTGATTGCTATGAATACAAACAGTTTACACTAGGTAAATCCCGTGAACCCTAAAGATAAATAATTATCTGTCTTCCATTTCAGCTAATTCTGCCCTATCACCTGAAAAAAATATGTATTTTTTTGTGTGAGGGTGGGAGGGAGGGAAGGAACCCATACGGAAACTTGTGTTGTAATCGTGATTCTGTAGTTAAGGTTGATTTATATTTGCACCTGAAACAAAGATTCAGCCTCATGTATGTATAAAAATGTAATGGGTGTTCTCCCCATAAGCCACAATGCTTACTCTGAGCAAAGAATTCATTATAATTCAGTGATAGTGCAAGGTTTTATGCAGTCCTCCTTGAATCTGCAGCTTGATCTAATAAATCTAATAAGCAGAAATAAAATGCCCCGTGTATGTGTGTGTGTGTATATATATATATATATATAGGTAGTTCTTCTGATGTTATTTTACAGAGTATTTTTTAAGGAGGAGGGGGAAAAAAAACCCCACTATTTCTGTCTGGAAAGCACTGCAGCAGTGGATCTAAAAGTTGGAGTGAAATGTCACATTGCTCAGCTTGCATAAGAAGGTCCAAAGTCTTTTGATCTAAACTGGATAAAAGCCAGCACATTTCCTTTGTTTTGCTTGGTATTGCATAGCTTTATGTGGAACATGCTAAAGGTATTAGTTTTGTTCGTTCATGAGCCATAGAGAAGTCTAAATGACTTCTTCAACACGAAAGTGGGATTTGAGAGATTTCTTGAAAAGCAGCCGTTATCAGTGTAATAGCCTTAGTTCTGTTTATGTGTTGTTCTCCAGATTACTACTCAGCAAAGAAGCAAGTCAAAACCAATATGCAAGCTGCTGCAAAGAAGTCAACTTCTTGAAAGCAAGGAGAGGGTTGCTCTGCACCGGAGAGGTTGGAAACATCAGCCAAGCTTCCTCAACCTTCAAAAACCGGGTGTGCAGGCTGCGGACACTTAGGGGCATCCCACAGAGGTGTGTTCCTGACAGCAGCAGTGAAAACAGAAAATACTTTTATTGGGATGGGGTCAGGCCAAATCAACTGGAATCACTTTGAGAAATTACTGGCCTTTAAAACCACTGGTAAGCAAGTTTGGACACTACAGAAAGGCTAGCAGTTTAACGTGCATTGAAAATCACTGCACGTGAGAAAGTGCTAAACAGTTAAAACAACTGTATACATGTAATAATGTGCTTGGACAAGTCGCTGTACAGTTAGGGCTGTTCACATTGTCACATCTTTACGTACCCTCTTTTTTGGTTTTAGCAGGCATAGCTTACTAAGTTTCACCATCTCAGCTTTGCAGGTCTGACACGCTACAGAAAAGTTCCCAGCCCTTTCTGTGTTTTTTTTTTTTTTTTCAGGTACACAGAATTTTGTGCTTGCAGCTGTTCAGGGTATAAGTAACAGTGCTTGGGTGCCAAATGCTGGGATGTAAATGGAGAAAGCTGAAATTATTTGCGACCATTTCAATTTCTATCAGCAGCCATTTAGCCTTGTATCTAAGCCCCACACGTAAGAATTAGGTTGTTAAACTTGCATGTTATGGGGAGAAATTTGCAGATACATTCTTGGATCTTTCAAGTCATTCTTGTTCACAGCCAGGCCAAATCCAGCCTTTAATTCAGGTTGTGCAGTTCCATCTGGGTCTATGAGTTTGCATGGTGAAAACAAAGATAAAACTTGCTGTGCATTTGTCCACAGTGTTTTAAAATGCCTGCTGCTTGTAAGAACATAGTAAGAATGAGGGAGATGGTTTAGTTGCCATTTTGTGCTTTTTATTCATACTACTTTCTGTAAGAAGAGAAAGGACATTAATAAAACAAATGTTACACATGCAACAATCTTGATGTTGCATGGACTGCTTTTCTCTGGCGTTTGTTAACATATACTTTTCCATCACCTACTTTTTATTTCCCTTTTTTATTCCCCTGACTAGTTGGGATAATTGAAATTTTACAGCACATAATAATCAGCGGGTAAAACAGAAAAAGAAACCTATAAAATATACAGTCTAAATTATACTGCTGCATATGGCTTTAAGATGCATGCAGTGTTTAATGAAGTCTTTTGGAAAGAGCTCTGTAAATGTCAAGTTTTTAGAACAACAGGAGATGATGGACTGCTGCTTTTTGTCTCAAATCTGAAGAAACTAACTTTTCTCTTGGGTAGCAAAAATTAACATGTTCTTGTGTGTGTGTGTCAGGTGTACGCACAAGAAGTGGTGTAAGCAAGCCATACGCCCTGCGTTACGTGCAACATAGGGAGGGTCTAGCATGTTTCTTTTTTTTTTCCACATTAAGAGCTACAAGTGTTTAGACACAAATAATAGTTGATTTTCCCCCAAATGGCAAAAGACAGTGATTTCGGTGTGTTTCTGTACAGTGAGATAAAGATATTCAGCAAATTGCAGGGTCAGAGCCTGTTTCCAGCCACACACAGGACTCAGGAGCTGTGATTTTCACTCTTGATTTTTTGATTTAGCTGGGAGCAAACCTTGCTCCAGCTGATGTCAAGGGGATTTTCACCCAAATGAAGGAGGATGAGGGCTAGCCTGGCAACTGCTGCTCACAGAGCCTTCAGTGTGTTTGTGGGCTAGGCCAGTCTGTTACAAGCTTTTCAGCCCATTGAGATGTAGCACAAAGGTGTGGGACTGGGCTTTTTTGTATATTTGGTTTTATTTTTACACCCTGCTTGTGATTAGAACAGTCTGATCTATTTTTTAAAGTGTGGTGATTTTCTCTAATTAAGAAAAATTGCACAACTGTTTCTCCATGTGTTTGTGGTTTCAAAGCAGACCAGTGACACTGTGCAGCATTTTTGTTTGTAGCAAAGTTACTTGTAGAGTTATTTTCTGACCAGGATAGCATTAGCTGTGCATAAAAGTCCTAAAGTCAGCCATGCACGAGGCTATTGTGAAGTAGCTTCTCTTTATTAGGACAAATGACTATCCATGTACTGCTGTCCCAAAAAACCAAGAAAGGATCTTTTTTTTTTTTCATATTAATTCCAAAAGAGCTCAGTGCTTAAGCGTGCATTTAAAAGGAACTATCTGCCTTAAATGCTTTGTAATCAGGACACTATAATGTTATAGGAATTTGTAAAACACAGGTTTGGATTGCAATGCAAATACTGGCCTTGGAGTGGAATTTCAGTATATTCAGACTGAAAGGTGGAGACCATGGTTGAACATTCGGCCTGTCTGTGTTTGGAACATCTTGATTAGCTGTGATTGTGACTGGGAGCTCAGGGCTAGGGTAGAAAAAGCATTTTCTGCTGATTAGACAAGGTGATGTTAGTGGTTTTTGAAGTGGCAGAATATCGGAGAGGATCCTGCCCTGGTGTATTACAGCTCCACGGATCTGTGGTGAAACTGCCTTGGTTTACACCAGAGGAGAACTGAGGCTGAGGTGTTTTACACTAGTCCTTTTAGTTACTCTACATAATAAATGGACCAGCAAGCAGCTAGCTGTGTAAAGGCATTGCCTCCTTTCTACATACACAGGTTTTAGAAGATGAAGAAAAATGGTTTCTGCTATAGTTTTTTGCGTGTGACAGCCAAAAATAACAACAAACCTCTGATCAGTGTCTGTGCTTCATCGTCAACAGGGTAGATAAAGTATATCTGTGTTTCATTACCATGCTGATGAAAAAGAGTGAAACATGGAATATTTCATTATTTTGTTCAATTTGTGAATTGCACTTTCTTGTTTAACACAATATGCACAAGGGGGTATATCAGTGTGTAGCTAGGCTGTAATAATAATATTTTTTTAATAGTAGGTGCGTCTAAAACATTCCCATTCTTTAAAGGAGGCAGCAGACCTGATTGAAAAAGCAATACACTGAAGCTTTGGTCTGCTTCGTTCCCTGGGCATAAACAGTACATTGAACGTACCAAGCCTAATCCTGTAACAAAGCTGTTGAGGGCTTCTTTGCTGACCTGTGAGTTTGATAGGCTGCAGGGGTCTATGGCCGTCCATCAAACCCCAATGCGGCACTTTCTCGTAATGAAAAGCAAGGGGATGTGTTCAGACTTTGGGCATTAAAGACAGGGTAGCAGCTCTGGTCTAAGGTCTTGTGCAGCTATGTGAGGATTACACAGCAGAAGGGAGACTGCAGCGTGAGCACGCTGTAACCTCAGCATGCTGATAAGTGGGTACAACTACATCTACCTGAGCCCTCCTCCCTCCCCTTTTTTGAATATAAGCTGCATGCATGGCTCAGGGGCCATATGTTACTCAACAGCCACAACCTAGCTTCTGCTGGTACCACGGTGTGACCAGCATACACGTTAGGGAAATCAGTAGTTCAGATTTTTTCCATCAGAAATAAATGTATCCCATGTGCAGCACAACCTGAGCTGAAAATGGGACAGAGCAAGTCCAGAACACTTGTTTTATGTTTTGTAGAAACATGGAAATAATCTCTCAGGTATGGATTATTTCATTAAATTCCTTTCAACAGCAACTGGAGAAGGTTGTTTCATTTGGGCAAAAAAGCCAGGAAAAGAGATTCTCCGCATGCTTCTAGTTATTTTCAGGGTGATACAAGTACAGCTTTCTTCTACTTAAAGCAACTCCTTAGCAAACTATTCTGAAGTACCCTTCTGTAGGGTAGTGTTGGTTTCCTGGAGAAGCTATCAACTTACTGTGGTAGATGCTTTATTATTTTACCATTATCTTCTGGATCCTTGTTAATAGACTCTGGGGGTGGGTCTTAATATCACAGAAATATTTGGCTGGGAGGGAACCTGGAAAGTCACCTACGCCATTCCCCTATGCGAAAGCAGGATCAGGACTTGCTTATTCCAAAGCGTGCAAACTGCTGTGAGAAACTATTTGCTCTGCTCACATGGCAAATCTCCGGGGCGGCCAAGATCAACAATGTTCCTCCCTAGATTCAGAGGGTCTGTGTTATACAAGATGTTTTCTTTCAGGTATTCGTTGTGTTTTGCCTGTATTGTTGCAATGTTGTAGATGCAGTTGAATTCCACACGAGCAAGCTGGTGTGTTGAACCATTTGGTTGTCGGATGTGGATATTTGCAATGTCATCAATAAATGCTGGTGCATAAATATGTTTTAATAGCAAAAGAAGTTGAATTTTCTTCTTTTTAGGAAGGTTCTTATTGTTCTGTTTCTGCACTGCTCTGACCTGGCCTCCCTACACTGATCCCCCTGTGCTGTTCTACTTTCTACAGTTCATCACTTCTACACGCAAAATAATGGCTTGGGTTGTGGGGTACTATAAGCTAAGCTGACCTACAGCCCAGAAAATGTGTTTCTGCAGTGAGTATTTCATGGTTTCCCACTGAGGTGTCACAAACCATATAGGAGGAAACTCTCTTTTTTTTTTTTTTCCCCTTTTTTCTTTTTCTGCTTAAGAAATGCTGCCTCTCTTACTTTCAGCAATCTGTTCCTTTGGCAAGAAATATGACTATCAGGTGTTTAAAATTAAAGTTGTTAAAATCAAATTTGCAAAGGCAGGAGGGTTTGCCCCAGTGTCCTGGACATAGTCCAACTTTGGTAATTACGTCTCGCTTAACTAAATCCTTCTTGCAGTTTCATGGCGTTCTTCCTGTGCCGCTGAAATCTGCTATGGAGAGCTGCTGTGACACAACATGTTAAACATCTGCCATGTTTTTACCCAGAAGTGGCGATGTTTCAATAGGAGATGAAGTGATTTATAATACATGGCATGCATACACCCAGATTTTTTTAATTACAATGGCTTCTACTGAATCATAGGAGGGAGTTAGGAGCAGCACTTCTGAAAAAAAAAAAAATCAGCTCAGGAACTAAATATGGATTTAAAGGTCTGATTCTCTAGATCCTTCTTTCAGATGATCTTTTCCAAACCCG